TCTGAAAATGTTATTCAACTCAGTAATAGGAGCTTGGACATAACGTATTGACGGGACACTCGACAATCGTATGACTATAAAGAATTCAATCTTCATTGGCACTTAAGTATTTTAACTTTTGTAGTGGTGCTCAAGGGCAGATTCATTTAAGTAGTAGAGAACATAAGCCGCCCTCCTTTTTAGAACGGAACAGATATATTTTTTTGCCTAAAATATTCAAAAATGTTTCCTTTTTTCATTTTATGGACCATTAAGCCCTCTGTCCTCGAACCCTGGTGCTCCACAATATCTATAAAGTTGTATTAACTATACAAGTCAAGTCGATATGATAAAGCAGTGTACTTTGAATTATGAAAAATAATAGTAAGTACGTAATTTTGTACACTGATCATATTGGTAATTAACTAATGACCTGACTATGAAATCAAAACCATTGTCGAGTCCTGTCAGTATATTATGCCCCAGCTTCTATTACTGAATCGAATAACGATTTCAGACATGTTGACCCATTGGTAGACCTTGTTCTGATGACCATCATATTTGCTTATTAAAGTTTCCTCTAACTACCATAGTGTCAACCAGAAAACTTAAATAGGTAAAAACTGTCATTAAAGACCAATAATTCCTATAAGCTGTTGATTGACAATTTTGGCCACTTGACTTGTTCTTAAATCTAGATAATAGACAATACTTGCATTTAATCCCAATGTTCTATTTTTAGACTTGGTAGCCATGCTGGTTGACAGGTGTTGTCTTTGGAAACACTTTTTAAAATAAAATACCCCATGAATGGTTGTGGTCAAGTTTGGTTCCAAATGGCCCAGAAGTTTCAGAGAAGATTTTTGTAAAGTTAGAGGAAAGACAGACTAAGACAGTCACTAGACGCAGGACACCAAGTGAAGAAAAAAGATCAAACAGACTTTTAGGACAGGCAGAGACATATATCTATATATAAGTCTCTTGGACAGGTGATAAAAAAAAATTGAATACTCTAGGAAAGGATTGTGTGTTTGTACCTGCTCACAAAGCAGCAAACAAAGTTATCCTTGTGTGGTACAAGTACTAAACTGACATTTTCAAAATGTAGATAATAAATATGAGTATGTTCATAATTACTACTGAAGAAAAGATTGTAGATGAACACTTAGCAACAGTGCCATTTATATATTTTTCATTAATTTTTGCCAAAATCTTTACACAAGTCTAACATTAAGTATAGCAGTGATTAATTTCCCTACAGCAGAAGCCATGGACCTCTGTATACATTGGATCAACATGATCCCCATTATTTTTATAAATAGGTATGATGCAAATTAACCAAATCACAGGAATCTAGAATCCTAATATTTCATGAAAAAAAACAGCTCTCATGACAGATAATTTCATGAAAATTTTACTAATTCAGATTTTTTTTCGTAACACCTTTGGTATTGAGAGGATTGTTGATCTCCATATTATTTTCATTTCCAAGGGCATATAACTTTCCCCCATCCAAATGAAAACAATCAAGTAGCTTTGCTTTTTAAACTTGTTTGTAATACTTTGACATAAATTGTATCGAATTTCAATGAGAACTATAGGAGTAAGAGTGCTTACAATGTAGAACAGATGGACAGATTGATATTAGCATTTCCATTTCTCTGGCTCTGAATTGCAATTGGATAAAAAACCAACTAATTTGTGAATCTGCCTCATGTTAAATTGCCTGTCATTAGTCAGGAACCCTGTCAATGTTTGTCTTTATACCTTTGAAAAAGTCAATGTTATTGGCAGATATCAAGTCTTTTTTTATAATTTATGCATCCTGACTCAAAATGATTTAGAGATTGACAAATTGAAATGACATTGAATATTGCTGGTGACTCTTTGATGTCTTTTCTGTTTGCCTTTCTATATTACCGACATATACCCCACATCTGACTCTTTGATGTCTTTAGTGTTTACCTTTCTATATTACCGACATATACCCCACATCTGACTCTTTGCTGTCTTTAGTGTTTACCTTTCTATATTACCGACATATACCCCACATCTGACTCTTTGATGTCTTTAGTGTTTGCCTTTCTTTCTTACCGACATATACCCCACATCTGACTCTTTGCTGTCTTTAGTGTTTGCCTTTCTTTCTTACCGACATATACCCCACATCTGACTCTTTGATGTCTTTAGTGTTTGCCTTTCTATCTTACCGACATATACCCCACATCTGACTCTTTGATGTCTTTAGTGTTTGCCTTTCTATCTTACCGACATATACCCCACATCTGACTCTTTGATGTCTTTAGTGTTTGCCTTTCTTTCTTACCGACATATACCCCACATCTGACTCTTTGCTGTCTTTAGTGTTTGCCTTTCTTTCTTACCGACATATACCCCACATCTGACTCTTTGATGTCTTTAGTGTTTACCTTTCTATCTTACCGACATATACCCCACATCTGACTCTTTGATGTCTTTAGTGTTTGCCTTTCTATCTTACCGACATATACCCCACATCTGACTCTTTGCTGTCTTTAGTGTTTGCCTTTCTATCTTACCTTTCTATCTTACCGACATATACCCCACATCTGACTCTTTGATGTCTTTAGTGTTTGCCTTTCTATCTTACCGACATATACCCCACATCTGACTCTTTGCTGTCTTTAGTGTTTGCCTTTCTATCTTACTGACATATACCCCACATCTGACTCTTTGATGTCTTTAGTGTTTGCCTTTCTATCTTACCGACATATACCCCACATCTGACTCTTAGATGTCTTTAGTGTTTGCCTTTCTATCTTACCGACATATACCCCACATCTGACTCTTTGATGTCTTTAGTGTTTGCCTTTCTATCTTACCGACATATACCCCACATCTGACTTTTTGCTGTCTTTAGTGTTTGCCTTTCTATCTTACCGACATATACCCCACATCTGACTCTTTAATGTCTTTAGTGTTTGCCTTTCTATGTTATTGACATATATCCCACATCTGACTCTTTGATGTCTTTAGTGTTTACCTTTCTATCTTACCGACATATACCCCACATCTGACTCTTTGCTGTCTTTAGTGTTTGCCTTTCTATCTTATTGACATATATCCCACATCTGACTCTTTGATGTCTTTAGTGTTTGCCTTTCTATCTTATTGACATATATCCCACATCTGACTCTTTGATGTCTTTAGTGTTTACCTTTCTGTCTTATTGACATATACCCCACATCTGACTCTTTGATGTCTTTAGTGTTTGCCTTTCTGTCTTACTGACATATACCCCACATTCGACTCTTTGATGTCTTTAGTGTTTGCCTTTCTATCTTACTGACATATACCCCACATCTGACTCTTTGATGTCTTTAGTGTTTGCCTTTCTATCTTAACGACATATACCCCACATCTGACTCTTTGCTGTCTTTAGTGTTTGCCTTTCTATCTTATTGACATATATCCCACATCTGACTCTTTGGTGTCTTTAGTGTTTACCTTTCTATCTTACTGACATATACCCCACATCTGACTCTTTGATGTCTTTAGTGTTTGCCTTTCTGTCTTACTGACATATACCCCACATTCGACTCTTTGATGTCTTTAGTGTTTGCCTTTCTATCTTACCGACATATACCCCACATCTGACTCTTTGATGTCTTTAGTGTTTGCCTTTCTATCTTACCGACATATACCCCACATCTGACTCTTTGCTGTCTTTAGTGTTTGCCTTTCTATCTTATTGACATATATCCCACATCTGACTCTTTGCTGTCTTTAGTGTTTGCCTTTCTATCTTATTGACATATATCCCACATCTGACTCTTTGGTGTCTTTAATGTTTACCTTTCTATCTTACCGACATATACCCCACATCTGACTCTTTGATGTCTTTAGTGTTTACCTTTCTTTCTTACCGACATAAACCCCACATCTGACTCTTTGCTGTCTTTAGTGTTTGCCTTTCTATCTTACCGACATATACCCCACATCTGACTCTTTGATGTCTTTAGTGTTTGCCTTTCTATCTTATTGACATATATCCCACATCTGACTCTTTGATGTCTTTAGTGTTTACCTTTCTAACTTACCGACATATACCCCACATCTGACTCTTTGCTGTCTTTAGTGTTTGCCTTTCTATCTTATTGACATATATCCCACATCTGACTCTTTGATGTCTTTAGTGTTTGCCTTTCTATCTTATTGACATATATCCCACATCTGACTCTTTGATGTCTTTAGTGTTTACCTTTCTGTCTTATTGACATATACCCCACATCTGACTCTTTGATGTCTTTAGTGTTTGCCTTTCTGTCTTACTGACATATACCCCACATTCGACTCTTTGATGTCTTTAGTGTTTGCCTTTCTATCTTACCGACATATACCCCACATCTGACTCTTTGATGTCTTTAGTGTTTGCCTTTCTATCTTACCGACATATACCCCACATCTGACTCTTTGCTGTCTTTAGTGTTTGCCTTTCTATCTTATTGACATATATCCCACATCTGACTCTTTGATGTCTTTAGTGTTTACCTTTCTATCTTACTGACATATACCCCACATCTGTCATTGGTGTCTTTAATGTTTACCTTTCTATCTTACCGACATATACCCCACATCTGACTCTTTGATGTCTTTAGTGTTAACCTTTCTATCTTACTGACATATACCCCACATCTGACTCGTTGATGTCTTTAGTGTTTACCTTTCTATCTTACTGACATATACCCACATCTGACTCTTTGATGTCTTTAGTGTTTACCTTTCTTTCTTACTGACATATACCCCACATCTGACTCTTTGATGTCTTTAGTGTTTACCTTTCTATCTTACTGACATATACCCCACATCTGACTCTTTGATGTCTTTAGTGTTTTCCTTTCTATCTTACTGACATATACCCCACATCTGACTCTTTGAAGTCTTTAGTGTTTGCCTTTCTATCTTACTGACATATACCCCACATCTCTTTTTATACATAATCAGCATACCACATAAAAATGTAAAGTTCATTAAAAGAAATATATTTTTTTCATAAATTTTATTCATAATTATTTCATGAAGTACTTTACATCCATTAAAATCTGTAGAAGCATTTTGTATAAACAGATAAAACAAAGATTGCATGCTAAGCACTAAAACAACAAGATTTAAACATAAAAATTTGTGAAAAATGCAATATTACAATAATGATGTAAAGTTTGTTAGGTGGGTAAAAATGAAATTTGGCATAAAACATTGTAAATATAAAAGGTATGATAAAGCTAAAAATTTGTCATATTTCAAATGTTAAGTTTTCTGTAAATAACACTTTATTAATAATCCTAACATCATGATAACAATTTCTTGACTTACTATCAACATACTTTATTGAAGGAAAAAAAGTCAGATATGTAAAGGAATAAATTTGACAATAATATGATATGGCTTGAACAATACAATTTCTGTCATGCACCAACCTCATCTCTTTTTTCACCAGAAAGAATATGTAAAGCTAGAGCCTCTATTACAACCAATGCTAATGGCAGCTGAAACCCTTTTTTTTTAAATTGCAATTGCATTAGAAAAAAATATTGGCACAGGTTTCCTTTCACTAGCATAAACTGGTTGGTGTAGGAGGTATTATCCAATAAAACTGGAAACCAGACATTTAGCATATTTAACTCATAACATCATCTATATGTCAAGTGCAGCCATTAGTCCATTAAATTTCAGTCTCAGAACCCCACACAGAAAAAAAAAGTTCATCTTAAAAACAATTTGTCATGCTTCAAATGTTGGACAGAGGTTTTTCATACACAGCCAGTCTTAGGGTGGAAGAGCCTTTCCTACATACATTAAAGAACTTGTAACATCAACTTGAGAAAAATTGATTTAAGGAAAACCTTTTTGGGGGAATCCAATTGGCAATAATTGGATAGGCATTCTTCATAGCCAGCCTAACCTCACTTAATATCGTTTATTTTAGGTCAAAAATAAATGTTCGGATGGCATTAAATGTTGTTTCCCTATAAAACAAGAAATTAGGATGAAAAACAGTAAATATAAGGTGAATAAAAACAGGGTCTCATTTTTAATTTTAGGGAAACATTTTCAATACAATAAACAAAGAATGTTATAATTGTAAACTTATTCATGCTTATTACAACAAGTGCTTATAATTTATTACAATTGTCTAAAGACATTTTCAGTAAAACATTGATTTGGAGTCAAATTAATGATCTTGTTTGTTGTATGAAAACTCACTCTAAGTATAACCACAAAGCTGGAATCTAAAACTGCTCATATGGGTTATTATCTTTCAGAAGTGCCTTCCCTGGGTCATTCTCATGATCTAATGGACAATCATAAGTTGTATGACTTCCAATCAAATATGAAAAATAAAATTCTTCAAGTAAAAGTTTATCTTTGTTTCTGATGGCTCGACAACAAAATGATGTGTTTGTGAATCTATTGTAGTTTTAACTTGCATGGCTACATGATAAAACTTGAGTCAGTAACTGATACATCTGTTAACATTATTTGTCTCTTTGATTGTGTAAAAACAAACATATTATGAATTTAAGGTTAATATTTATATTTTGCATATTAAAGTAAATGTTGTTGATGTTATTTTTTACCTTTTAAAAGAGAATTCTTTTTTTCAGTATAATGCCAGGCAATCATTATAGTCTGGTGATGAAATGAAGGGGGAAACTCATTATTTACAAATGTACATTATATGTAGGAAGACTAGAACTTTGAACATAGAAAAAGATGGCACCATTAAAGAGAAAATGCTCATATAATATTAGTTAAAAGATGTTTATCTATTAGCCAATGGACATAAATATATAGTAAGACAGGATATCTTAGGTAATAGCATTTAAATTCAAAAGAAAAAATTCAAGAAACAAAAGTTTCAAAACTAAGTATGAAATTTTCATAGATTTTGTTATTAAAGATATGAAAAAATGTGGTACTACCAAATACTGCCAACAATGGACAAAACACACAAAAAAATGCTATTATGAAGTTCGAATTTTTGTGATGTTCTTATTCTTAAGGAAAAATATGATGGGATAAATATAATATTGGCTGAGTAATTTGACATGCTACAGGAGCAGACAGCTTAGAAAGGTGACTTGATAATACATATACTTTTCTTCACACTTGTCCTCATTACCTGGTACATCTTCCTATCTTTACCTCATGACACCAGTCAGGATCAATCCATCATTATCTATGCTATTTAGGGAGAAGAAAGTAGAGAGAAGAAGAAGAAAAAAGAAACAAAGAAATGTTTCAGAATACAACTATATTTATGTCCACTGACTTACAATTGTTAGTATTACATTTATTGTATCAACTTTGTTGATTAAGTCTGAGATCGTACAAAATAAATAAGATAACATCCACTAAGATACACACACCAGAAGACAGTTATTTCATGCAAACTATTAAATGAAGTTAAAAAAAAACCAAAGTTGACAGTTGACTCCATGTAAGATTTCAAATTATTGACTACTCAAGTATCCTTGTTTCTGACACAATAATTACATAACTAGTAGTTGAAGCATCAGATTGTTGTGCTTCTCACAATAATTACATTACTAGTAGTTGAAGCATCAGATTGTTGTGTTTCTGACACAATAATTACATTACTAGTAGTTGAAGCATCAGATTGTTGTGCTTCTCACAATAATTACATTACTAGTAGTTGAAGCATCTGATTGTTGTGTTTCTGACACAATAATTACATTACTAGTAGTTGAAGCATCTGATTGTTGTGTTTCTCACAATAATTACATTAGTTGCTTTGTGAAATCATGCTTAAATCAAATGGAAAGTTTTACTATTTTCAAGTAAGATAATTATACTACAATTAAGCAGACTCACAGAGACAATGTTACAAGACGTTTTGATTGGCTTAACAATAATAATTACTTAGCTAAAAATAAGAAGATAACCTTTTGAATGGCAAGAATACAACATCTTGCTGCATGTTAATGTTCTTTTTTAATATTCCTGAGTGTAAAAGATGGGATTCTTTAGGTCACAGTAAAGTTCACTAGTTCACATTAGTGATGCAACTACTAAAAGTTACTGGTCTTTTGGCACAAGTAAGCTGAAGGACATTAAGTACTTGTCACTAGAGTATGGTTAAAATCAGCTGAATTTACGTAATGGTAAGAACCCTAGAGTTTCATTAAAGATAAATATAAAATTTCAAAAAGAAATCTAAATGCTAATCTTTGCTGCTTGTAACTTTGAAAACAAATAAAAATATGACTCGATATCAAAAAGATAATTTTTTTTAGGGCAATCCCAATAGGGATTCTTTAAACTCAATAATGACCTTATCTATGCAAAATATGTTTAATAGTATCAAATATTCTAGTAAATAAGAAGTCAATGGACAAATGTTATCCAAATTGAAGGAAAAATAAAAATTTATTAATAGATATAAAAGTGTCAATTTTTAGACCTTTTTTCCTTCATAAGAAAGTGTAAAGAAAATATGCTTAAAACTGGAATACAAATTAAAAAGTTGCACATCAAAATTGGTGATAAACTGCTTTGGATAACTTTTGTCCTTTTTTCAGAAACAGATGGGGAAATAAACCCCCTAAAAAAATTTATTCCAGCCTTGGTTTTGTGCAATGCATTATTGAATTAAAATTAATAAGGTTTGATCGACTATAATTTAATGGCATATCCATCTGTTTTAGGGAACAGAATAACTATCACAATAAGCACATTAGTTTGGCTATATTTTCCTGAAACATGATGTATAAAATGATTTGTCACAATGAAGAAATAATTGTTACTAAAAAAACATTGGCATGTAAATGTACATGAAACATTTGTATAAGCCATTTACTATCATTATATTGCATAGCACAGATACATATAACATTATGATTGGATTTCTAAAATGTTACTAATGAACACTTGTCATTGAATATATTACTTTTATTGTATACTAAATACTGGTATAACTCCCCCAAGAAATCACACTAAATCTCTGTTGTGTCTGGTCTTCTTTGAAATTGAATTTCATAAGAGAATTAAGTCTATATGAAGTTGAATTTATAAATTTTGTTGATGGTTTTCTAGGATATCATCTGACTTTATTAAGTAGGAGTCATGATGAAACGGAACATCAACAACATAACTCTTTAGCATCCTTTTTATCATTCTATTCAGAGCTTAATGGATTGAACCTTAAGAAATTGTTTTTACAATATTTCTCTGTTAAATTAAGACAGTGATATAGTATTTGTAGAAATTAAGACAGTGATATAGTATTTGTAGAAATGATGCAGGGAATACAACACTGAGACATACTAACAAATATGTGATGGATTTCTTTAACAATAAACAAAAATAATCTCTAAGAGGCACATTGGTCTTATAACACTACCAAATATAACAATGTACGGTTCAAACCAGAAGTAACCTCTGATTTAAAATGCAAAATGGAACTTGATTTAGTCTTAAAATAGTAACAATGCCAACAATCATGTTTTATACTCCATGAGGTTATAATGTTTCACATTTCTTACATAACAGATAGAATAAATAACTGAAATATCAACAATTAATATTTGGTAAACTCAACAATGCTTCATTAGTAAAACAATTAACTGTCAGAATCAATATTACACAAACACTTGCAGAGTAATATTACACAAACACTTGCAGAGTAATATTACACAAACACTTGCAGAGTAATATTACACAAACACTTGCAGAGTAATAATACACAAACACTTGCAGAGTAATATTACACAAACACTTGCAGAGTAATAATACACAAACACTTGCAGAGTAATATTACACAAACACTTGCAGAGTAATAATACACAAACACTTGCAGAGTAATATTACACAAACACTTGCAGAGTAATAATACACAAACACTTGCAGAGTAATATTACACAAACACTTGCAGAGTAATATTACACAAACACTTGCAGAGTAATATAAACCAGGATGTACTTTTGTGTTTTTTTTTATTTTAATTTTTGATATAATTTTTTACCTACAACACCTTTATTTATTTTTGTTTCAAATCTTAAATGGACTCTTTTGTGGAAATTGAAATATAAAAGATAATTTAATGGTAGCAACCTAAATCTTCATTACTTCTTCAGGTAAATTATAAGCTTAACAAAAACATGTAGCAACCAAGTTTCTGTAGATTTTAGCATTAGACAGTAACAGTTGTTTTGTCGCTTTTGACATTTCATATCAGTACTTTATAGTCTCGGTATTTCAAGAACAGCTTTGTTCATTTTAACAACTTGTTCCTAACAATGAATGCTCACATAGGGTGATCATATATACATATATTTAAATTGATACTTTCAGTATTTATATATCAATCCTGAAAAATTAAATTCATTTAGAATTTATGTCAGATATATGTTATTCAAATAAGATTAATCTGTACTCTCATTCACACTTAACATAAATATCACAAGGTAAAATTTCATTGCATTTACATAAAGATCTAAGATAAACAATTATTTAATGGACACATTTTTGATTCAGTATGTATAAAGAAATGGAGGAAATTGTAATCTATAACCTGAAGAAATATTTGATATAACATGTTTTAGGTGGCAAGTATAAAAATATTGGTGGATGGTTTGTTATGATTTTCCTTAATTTTGAAATGTGAAAACAAGTCTCCACATCCAACTGTCTTAATTTTCTTGTCATTAACATGGTTGCAGTAAAATGGAAATATTATTCACTGTTTGTTAACACAATAGAGAGCTTACAGTATACAATTGGACATAACAACATGTATTTATCACCAGTGTAGTATTCATTGTGTTTACATGTAATAGTATTATACTTTCTGAACACAATCAAATTCATCATAAAATTGATACATATATTTGTTCGCAATTTTATAATAAGATAATTTCAGACCATAATATGCTACACAAAAAATGTATATTGTATTCATGTAATATCTTTGTTATCTTTTGTTTATTTCCTTCAAAAAGGTTGTTTTAATGAGAATTTATGTTTTATTTATGTTCATTTAAATGATAACTAAATTATAATATTTTACATCAGCTAGAACACATTGTTTTAACAAATAATTTCCATTTTAAATAGTACAATGTTTTGTAACAATAACAACATATATATCTAAGCTGCATGCACAGATCTATCACCAGCCTTGTATATAAAGTCAAAAGACTCATGTTGTACACTTGTACTGTGGTCCCTGCTCATTGTAGATATTATCACAACCTGTTCAGTGAATAATCTCAAACAAAAGGTTATATTCTTGTGTTTCTTGTGTATAAAATGACTGTATATTTACTATATATCACATATCTTCTTGGCAGTATTAACTGTCCAAACATTTCCCTGACCACTATTGCCTTGGCTTAACAAAGCTGTTTAACACAACCATATCATAACTCCTGGTTGGCTAATTAATCCATGGTTATCACAACCAAGTTAGTAATCACTGTTTGTATTTGGCAGTATGGGCTATAACATGTATAAAGTTATCTCCCTTTTGTAATAAACAGTTGGTAGTGAACCAACATGTTAAAACTCCCTAACTTTCGTAAGAGTGATAAACTTTGTGAAAGGGAGATAACACTGACAACACACATGACTACACAGTTGTTTCCGAGTTATCCTCTACAATCATTAAAGGCTTCAGTTCTGTACCATTCACTTTCATGTCATTGTAATAATCTGATGAGTTAGATTTCCGTGGCAATTGAGCATTTGTATGAACTGGACTGTCAAAATATTCAGGATTATGAAATTGTAGCACAGGATCAGGCTTCATATACGGTGTATCATCTTCATCATCAAACACAGGCTTATTCTCATTTATGTAATCTGTAATGCAAATTCAAGTTGTAGTATGCATGTATAAATAAAAGGACCATACATTGTATTTACCTTTCTTTAGTCCAATGTTCAAGATTATAAAGGGTGAGGGTTGAGATCTCAAATAAACAGCTGCACCATGAGTGCATGATACGCCCGTCAATTTTTCAAAGAATAAAGTTCAATAACTTCTCAATGTTATATCAGAAATTTATGAAAAACTAAAGGGAGGTTATCTTAACAGATATAAACCAGTCACCAAAGCACTTGGAAGATATTTTCTGAAAACTGGAAAATCACCCATTTTTTATGAATAAAATCCTATAACTTGGAAATGTAAAATCTAAAATTTATAAAAATTGAAAGAGAGCTTATGTCAATAAATAAAAAGAATTCACCAAAGTTTCATGAAAACTGCTGAAGGCATTTTTGAGTAATTGTCCGAAAACTGGAAAATCCCCCTTTTTTTAATGAATAAAATCCCATAACTGGGAAACGTAAAATCTAAAATTTATAAAAATCAAAAGGGAGCTCACATCAATAGATATAAACAATTCACCAAAGTTTCTTGCAAATTGGTGAAAGTGTTTTCGAGTTATTGTCCAAAAACTGGAAAATCCCCCTTTTTTAATGAATATAACCCCATAACTAGGAAACGTAAAATCTAAAATTCATAAAAATCATGTCAATAGATAGATACAAACGATTCACCAAAGTTTCATGCAAATTGGTTAAAGTGTTTTTGAGTTATTGTCAGACATGTTAACGACGGACTAGGGACGAACAACGGTATACCATAATACGTCCCATAAACGGGCATATAAAAAGATTCTTGCAAATTGGTGAAAGTGTTTTCGAGTTATCGTCCAAAAACTGGAAAATCCCCCTTTTTTAATGAATATAACCCCATAACTCGGAAACGTTAAATCTAAAATTTATAAAAAACGAAAGGGAGCTCACGTCAATAGATATAAACACTTCACCAAAGTTTCATGCAAATTGGTTAAAGCGTTTTTGAGTTATTGTCCGACATGTTGACAACTGACGGACAACGGTATACCATAATACATCCCATAAACGGGCGTATAAAAACAATGTAACCCTGCCACATGTTCATGAACCTGTACCAAGTCTGAAATCAGGAACCTTTTCAGTGGTTGTCTTTTGTCATATCTAATGTCTTTTTTTGTATTTTGTGAAAATGGTTTTAATGCAGATCTTTGATATTCACCTGTATTTTGATTGATTGTTGGCTGCTTAATGTCCATTATATTTATTTGAGCAAATATTTCATGCAGAAGCATGTCTTGTTATGAAAACTGATATTGACCTCTATAAATCTTTTGGTTATTTGTGTCATTGGGTTGCTGTCTCATTGACACACATCAATAGTGTTACCTCCCTTAATGTATTTGTAACTTCCTGCTACAAATATTGTTGTTTATTGTAGTACTGTATGTAAAGCATTCAAAATAAACATCTTCATTTAAGGGCGCGATATGACTGATTATTAGTACAAAGATATATTTGCATTTTCGGTTCTAATCATTTATCCAATGGCAGTGTCTATGATGCAGGTCATGGAGTTAATTCCCAGAAGATCAATCAAGAGAATTTCAAGTTTTTAAAAAGAGGTTTTAGTTCTCCTCAAAGCACAGAACACTTAATTGTAAGAGAAAACACTGATCATAAAATTGAGAATGGAAATGGGGAATATGTCAAAGAGACAACAACCCGACCAAAGAGCAGACAACAGCCAAAGGCCACCAATGGGTCTTCAATGCAGCGAGAAAATCCCGCACCCGGAGGTGGTCCTCAGCTGGCCCCTAAATAAAATTGTGTGCTAGTTCAGTGAAAATGGACACCACACTAAACTCCAAAACATATAAATGAACTAAAATTAAAAAACATACAAGACTAACAAAGGCCAGAGGCTCCTGACTTGAGACAGGCGCAAAAATGCAGCGGGGTTTAACATGTTTTGTGAGATCTCAACCCTCCCCCTATATCTCTAGTCAATGTAGAAAAAACAAACACATAGCAATACGCACAGTAAAACTAAGTTTAAAAGAAGTCCGGGTCCGATGTCTGAAAAGGTAAAAAAAGAAACTAAGCAAAATGACAATGATACATAAATGAACAAAGGACTACTAGTAGTTACTGACATGCCAGCTCCAAACCTCAATTAAACTGTTTGAAAGATTATGTCTTCATCATATGAAAATCAAGTACAATCCATCCTGTTAGGGGTTTAGTATCATACCATCATAAAATATATGAGAAGAACATAACCCATATCATTTTTCAGTCAGAATAATAATGGTAATCTGGTAATCAGTTTCCAGTCAGAATAATAATGCATCTTAATAAGGTGAAAGATTCTCCTAAGGACTGTAACCTTTTGAGCTACAACATTAAAAATATGATTCAGTATGTTGTTCAAGTACAAATCGAGATTTACATTGAAATCATCCTGTATTGGATAAAGCAATGGAAAGGTCTTGTTAGTTTTGAGAATAGGTACTCGTACTGAATATGGTTAAAAAATTACCGTATAAACGTTAAACATCTGTTCATATTTTATCTTCTTTCTTAAAATATTTGTGCTTACCAGTATATATCATACAAGTCTAACATTCAAATCGGTTCCAGTATGTCTATTGCTTAATTAACCGGCTGTCCAAAAATTGATCATTGTAGGTTCAAACAATTATACAACCTGACTTTGTACATAATTGTCATGATTTTTTATCCTTTATTCCTCTCAAGTTCTCAGAGTAAATAATGTGGATCATAAATTCAATGGACTATAAAAATCTCCTCATTTGACATATTTGAAAACTATTTTTTAACTCTTATTGTTGAAGCTTTACTATATAGCATCATCATAGTATATAATAAAGTCTGACTGCAGTTGAAGAATCTTGAATAGTTAAATTTTTCTTTTTTTTAGGAAAGGCCAAAATCTATGGGGCACTAGAAAGATTTTGTCATGACAATTTAGAATGTAAATGCCCCACATGTTGTGAACCAACACCATTGTGTACCCCTTAAAAGGAACCAACTAGGTGCTCTAAAAGGGCTCTTGGTAAGTAAAAAAAAGTCACATTTAGAGATTTCATAAACTTAGAAATGAGGACTTGATTGTTACCATGACAAGATTAGATTTTATTGGTCCATCAGTTTCCAATTAGACCTTGGAAAAATTTAAGGATGATGCAAGGTGATGGCAAATGCACACATGTTCCTATGGTATAGGTCTGCTCATAAAAAATGACTGAATAAATAAACACTGCACCATCATTGTACATTAGGTATGTACTTGAAAAGGCTGGGTTTTTTTTTAGAATAAATTGTTGACACGGAGATATATCTTGCCTGTATGTTATTAAAATAAGAAGATGTGGTAAGCTTACCAATGAGACAACTCTGCACAAGAGACCAACAGACGTAGAAGTTAAATGTTAAACTATGCAAAACATCAAAAAATCAATGATCTATGACTGAAGGTTCAGGGCAAAATAATCTCAATGGAATTTTAGAAATGACTACTACATATCAAATATTATTGACTTCTGATAAATGGTTCCTCTTTAACTGACCTTATAACAAACTTTAACATATAAGCTATGAAAAACTTTCAGTCAATGAACCATGACTGAGCGATCAGGGCCTTACAATCTTAAAATCTAATTCTCAATTTTGAAACTTCAGGTGTGACAAAAAGCACAAATTGTGCATGGTACATTACTTTGCCAATCATTAAGGCAAGACCAGTTTATTGCAAATTTTTGGTATTTTTTTCCTTAAACATAAAAAGCAATCAATTAAGGCATTATTGGAATAACAAGGAATGCCAAGTAATGAGAGAAAATCTCAAAGTTTTGAATCAGATGTGGTAAAATAGTCACTAGCAGTATTTTACTTTGTTAAAAAAGATTGTAACTGGAATTGTACAGACATTAATATATATAAAGAAGGTCCATAATCTATTACAGAGGCTATCCTGTGCTTACCTGGGTCCTCAAGAAGGTCCATATACTTAATCTGTTACAGAGGCTATCCTGTGCTTACCTGGGTCCTCAAAAGGTCCATATACTTAATCTTGTTATAGAGACTATCCTGTGCTTACCTGGGTCCTCAAGAAGGTCCATATACTTCCGTGGATGACTTGACTTAGGTTGTAGGTAATCATCTTCATCAACAGGAAGTTGTATTTTGACATCACCATTTTTGTGACGTTCATACTGTCCTAATAATTTGATGGGGTACTTTCTCTGTGGGGTCAGTATCTGTTCAGTATCCTCTACAAAAATAAAATGATGGTTGTTATCATCCTAATTTTTAACTTTCAAGAAATCATTCTTTGATGAACGTATAAAAAAAGATGATTATTTTGGTATACCTAGCTGTAACAATTAATAAACTGTTATCACAGAGATATTTCTCGCCTTTTTGTAATTTTGATAATGCAAATGTTGAAATTAAAATAGCAATACTTTAACATGTAAGTTATGCAAATATTCATATTCAAGTCGATGAACCATGGCTAAACAATCTCCATGGAATGAGATGTGCCAATGCTAATACAACTGCATACCAAATACCATTGACTTATCATAAGTCGTTCCCTTTAAACAAACCTAAACACAACATTAACTTGTAAACTATGTAAAAGTTTCAAAGTCAATGAACCATGATCAGGGGTGGGGCTATATAATCTCCATGGAAACAATACTTGCAAATGCCAATAAATTTGCATACCAAATATCATTGACTTAACATTAGCAGTTCATCTTAAACTGATCTAATCACAAACTAATACATGTAAACTAAGCAAAAGTTTCAAAGTAAATAGACCATGACTGAGGGGGCGGGGGCAAATATTCTCCATGGAAATGAGATGTGCTAATGCTTATACAACTGCACCAATTAACATTGGCCTACCACTAATGGTTCCCCTTGAACTGACCTAATCACAAACTAATACATGTTAGCTTAGCAAAATTTTCAAAGTCTATAGACCATGACTTAGGGGGCGGAGCCAAATAATCTCCACGGAAATAAGATATGCCAATGCTTATACAACTGCATACCAAATATCATTGACCTACCACTAGTGGTTCCCAATAAATTGACCTAATCACAAACTAATACATGTAAACTATGAAAAGTTTCAAAGTCAGTAGACCTTGACTGAGTGGGCGGGCCAAATAATCTCCATGGTAATGAGATGTGCCAATGCTAATACAACTGCATACCAAATATCATTGACTTACCACTAGTGGTTCACCATGAACTAGACCTAATCACAAACTAATACATTGTTGACACTGCCGCCGCCATTGCCGGAAACAGCATACCTATGTCTCGCTTTTTGACTCCGTCAAGGCGAGACAAAAAGGACTGTTCCATTTAGTACAAAATGTAACAACAGCCAGAATTTTCAGAATTTGTCCTCATATTTTCTTATTTTAGTAATGGTGACAGCCATATTTTGTTATCAACCACAAGTTTTTAAAGGACATCCTACTCATAGCTTTATGAACATTTTATTTCACAAAATTGATTAGCAATTGGCACTCTGCAGAGTTTTCCAGAATGTTTGCATTGACCACATGTTTGATGATGGTTGGGGTCATCAAACAACATTCTGAAAGGTAGTAATAAATGTTCTTATACAATTATTCAACAAGAGGATATGCAAGAAATACATATGTGAATTGCAGTTATTCTTACCATTTTCTTGTAAAACTTGAACAGGGTCAGAACTGTATCTACTATTGATACTATCACCTCTTCCTCGTGGTGACATTTCTCTTTGATGTCTGGCATTTAGGGCAGAATCAAGATGAGCATAACGTTTTTCCCGAAATGGAGGTCCAGCATGGTGTCTGTTTTTATTATCAAACATTTTTGTTCCCTCTGGTAACTCAAGTAATGGTGCCTTGAAAATAAATTGTCATAGTTATGGTGCCTTGAAAATAAATTGTTATACTTATGGTGCCTTGAAAATAAATAATTATAGTAATGTATATGAGGAAATATCAAATGCATCATTCAGGGTGTAAAAGTATTGAACAAAACACTCTTGGAACTTAAAATGTTTTTACACATTCTTTCTTTTAACCATATAAATTAAAGTTAAAAGTTGGAGTGCTTATACACTTAACAATAACTATGTGTTTGTCTAAAGGCAGAAGGAAACATTGGGTATGCAGGGTTATTCCCCCTCATCCGACAAATTAAAAAAAAACAAGAATGTGTCCATAGTACACGGATGCCCCACTTGCACTATCATTTTCTATGTCCAGTGGACCGTGAAATTGGGGTCAAAACTCTAATTTGGCATTAAAATTGGAAAGAGCATATCATAGGGAACATGTGTACTAAGTTTCAAGTTGATTGGACTTCAACTTCATCAAAAAAAGCTGTTTCACTCAATCCCATTTTCATGTTCAATGAACCGTAAAATTTGGACCAAAACCCAAATTTGCCATTCTTTTTAGAAAGTCCCAATCATAATGACTATGTATGCAAAGTTACAAGTGGATGTAACTATAACTTTATCATAAACTTCCTTGACCAAAAACTTTAATCTGACATGGGACAGGTGGACAAACGAACAGACGAATGGACTAAAATCGATCAAAAAACCTATTTGTCTAAACAAAGTGAACAGTTTTCGTCTGTTCTTTAACGTACATGTACATGCAGATTTTAAGTTATTTGTGAACTGACTTATATTAAATAAAATTAAACAGCTCCATTTATGTTTACCTGTACAAACACATACATAATAAACACAATAGAAAAGCTTAAGTAAGAACAAATTGTTAGCTGCGAGGATCATGGCTAATTAATCAATCTTTTGATCATATCACCGTATAGCGGGTTATTTTCACTTATTTTGGCGGATAATGGAAAAGAGCAAAATAAATTCCGAGAAAATTTATGCATACATACGGTACTTTCTAATAGCTACGTTACTTTCTAATAGCTAAACGATCTTTTTCCGGTTGGCGGGCCAATAACAGTATCTGTTAGTTTTAACAACATTAATGCCAAAGGGCATTATACATAGTAATACATATATTTCATAAAATGGCTGTCAGGTGTTAATTAGTTTATTAGTGTCAAATAATATAAGTGTAACATACTCTGTCAGGTATTTACGTTTATTAATTAGTGTCAAATTATAAAAGAGTTGCAAGTCACTTTATAACCTAATTAGTACATCAAAGGTCCGGTCAATTTCGTAACTAATCAACCGTAACATTTACAAGAAGTTTGTACACCTGTGACAAATATCTAAGTTACCAGTATTCTATTGATTAACTGTATCAAAATATAATCAATAAATAAGACGGTCATGCAGGCTAAACAATCATTTGGCCACACAATAACACTTGTTTGTCAATTTTTACAACTTTTCAACTACAACCATTTCAGTATCCGCCAAAATATTTAATTGGGATGTAAGACTCCGCCAAAATAAAAACCGCCAAATTTTTCGTATACTTTGTTGCCCCTAAACCACGAAATATTACACCCGCGAAAATAAAAGGCTATACGGTAATCAGTGTAGCCCATACAATGTGGTAGTCATTTTACAAATGATTGAAGGTGTCATTTACCTAACTGTCACAAGAGTTGTTTATATAACAATATTAATAATTTCCGCTTGCTTAAACTAAATTTCATTTTAATTCAAATGTCACGAGTTAAAAGTTTTGGTTTCTAACACTTGCCTTTCATTTAGAAATACAGTTTTAATTTGTGATAAAGATCTGTCATCTGAAAAACTGTTATAAATTGGCCCTGTACATAATCCTATTATATACATTAAGGGATGGTCATTCTTTGAATCAGTTTTCTTTTAAATATTCGCGGACGTTTTATTTTCGCATAGCCACTCTTTTCACAAAAAAAGGGTAAATAAAACTTCCTGGAAAACTTGGCTGTTTACATTATTTATATAATGTCATCCTGATCACTTTTGTTATTTACTCTTATAACCTTGCTCCTATAGTTTTCTAGAAAACAGCCAAAAATGTCAAGATCAGTAAAATGATCATCAGGGGCAACAACTCTGAATAAGAACATATTTAGACAAGACTGAACTTGTTGGCTTATCTTTTTGCAATTTACACTGTTTACCTAGTTCCTATAGTTCTCAAGGCAATAGCCATAACTGTGAACAGTAGTTAAAGATCAACATTTCAGGGGCATTAAATTAATCCAAACAGTATATAGATGTTTCTAAAATTACAGGGTAGATAGAACTTGATGTGTTGACCATTTTTATCGTGCCTGTCTTTCTCTTATTGGTAAAAAAAATTGAAAACAACACTTCACAAGTGTCATGTGTCATAAGCAGTTTTCTGGATTTACCTTCATCAGGAACACTTAAAGTCGAATATTTGAAAGCCAAGGATGTCTAAGAACCAAAACAGTTGAAGAGCTATATGACCAAAAAGAACCTAAAAATAAAAGCCAAATCCATCTAAGGTCAACTTTGCCTGAGGGAGTTGAAACCTTAGTTCCTAATATGTCTTAATTTATAAAAAGTTGTTAAGATATTCGCCAAAAACTGCAGTTTGACCCTTATGATCTATGCTAAGCCATGGTAGCCATGTTGGTATATTGACTGGAATAAAAATCACAAACATCATAGACGAAATCCTATAGATGAAGCTGACAAATATTGGTTTCAATCCATTGAGCAGTTTCAGAGAAGATTTTTTTAGATAAGTTTATGGACAAAATATGAAAAACTTGCAAAGTGATAGCATTAGCTCACATGACTCTTTGGGCAAGGTGACCTAAAATAGCATACCTAGGATCCCACCTAGGATATACTATGGCCTCAGGTGATGGGACTTTCATTGGCTGAAACTAGAGAGACGAGGGCTACATTTGACTATAGACAAATCCTGGATGAAATAGTTGACTGAATCTTCTTGTGACTGCTACAAACTAAAAATTAATGACACTGTAGACAATAAAACTTCATGTGACTGTGGTGGACCAGCCATGGCTGGCATTAAAGACTGTGTCAAAATTACCATATCTAACATGGGAAACACTAGGACTTCATATGATAGTCTTTAGAGGTGGACCTACCTTGGGTGCACAAACTAGGATTTCATGTGCTAAAGGGACTTACATTTGGGGACACAACGAAAACTGGGACTTCATAAGATAGTAGTGGACTTATCTTGAGGGACACAGAATCTGGGACTTGATGTGATAGTAATGAACTTACCTAAGGGACACAGAAGAAACTGGAAATTTGTGTGATAGCAGTGAACTTATCTTAAGTGGCACAGATAATCTTGGACTTTGTGTGAAAAACAGGCTTAAATTTGGTGACACAGGCAAAACTGGGACTCCATGTGATAGTATTTGGACTTATCTTTAGGGAGACAGGAGAAACTGGGACTCCATGTGATAGTATTTGGACTTATCTTAAGTGAGACAGAAGAAACTGGGACTTCACTTTTTAGTAGTGACCTTACCTTAGGGAGACAGAAGAAACTGGGACTTCATTTGATAGAAGTGTACTGTATCTTTGGGGACACAAGAAAAACTGGAACTGCATGTGATATTAGTGGACATACCTTGGCTGATATGGGAGAGACTGGAGCCTCAGCTTCATGTGACTGTGGTTGTAAGTAATCATCTGCTTCCATGAGTTCTTCTGGTCCATCTGCTGCAACACTTAAACTTCTGGCTAGGTCATTTTTGTCATATGAATGACTTGGTAATCTCATCAATTTGTCTCCCTGTAAAATAATAAATTATACATAGAAATTACATATTTGTAATGCTTCACATATTTACATGTGTTTTCTACTTTTCTTAGTATTGTCTTTGAATGCTTCAGTGATAAAATGGATAAATCATCCTTTCTGAATATGTTTTTCCTCAAAAGATATCATACATATTATACATTCAGTAATACTAAACAAAATATTCAGATAAACTTAGCTTGTTTTATATTGACAGAAAGAGCATATGATTGAAGATTATGAAGCTGGTTTTTTCTTTCATTATTTTGAAAAGAGGGTCTCAATATTGTTCACAGTTATTTGGACATCTGATAACATTTTATTCTTAAACAGTCATGACAGTTTACATTTAGTTTCAGAAATAAAATGTGATTAGTAATGAGTACAAGATCAATATACAGGTAACATTAATATTGAAGGAATAATTTGATATTTAAAGGTAAGTCACCAACAAAATAACTGTCAGCTGAGTTACCGATGAAACCATTAAATCAAGTGAATCTACAGTACCTTAAAAGTAAATATGCCAATCTAACAATAAATTAGTGTTTGGAATCATTAGAAAAAGAAATCATTAGAAAATAAGATAGGAAATTAAATAAAAAGAAATATAATAAAAACTAGAAGATAAATGCTGAATCTCATGCAGAATTTAAAAAAAAAATTAGCTAGAATCAAAACAAGATATATTTAATACATAAAATATTCAGGTATATGATGGGGTCTATTAAAACACTGGACAGGAGCTCAATTGTGCACAGAGTAGAACAAAGGATCACAACATAGCACAAAAGAGTTATATAAGAGCACAAGAACCTAACATTGGTTTTTTTATGTAAAATAAATGTCATTACATGCAAAGAAAATATTTATTGGCATGAAATAAATGACATGAAAAGTTTAAATTCTTTCATATTTTGTTGCATTCCAAAACAAAAATATTCCACAAGCACTCTGAGTCTAATTTTCTACTGATATCAAGGTTTCATTTCAGTTGATAAAAAAAATTAAAATGCAGATGATTTTAATAATAAACTGCTTCGCCGACTGCAGCTGGATACGACCGCAGAGGTTCAACCCTGAACAGTTGGGGCAAAAATGGACACAATATTCAAGCTTGATACCGGTCTGAATTTGGATTGTAATTAAATATTTGACACATTATAGGTTTCTGACACAGAATTAATGTAGTCAAAGAACTTGAAATTGGTTATATGATTTGAATTTATATTCAATTGAAGATTTCTTGCTGTTGTGCAATACACTGTGCTGTTGCGCAATACTTAGTAAATTTGTTTTCAGACTATATACAAAGAATTAGCAAAATAAATTGTGACCTCCAATTTTTTTTTTTTTTAAATTGATAATTTCTTAAATCTTGAGGAAATTTGTTTACCCCCCCCCCCCCCCCAAAAAAACATAATATTTGAAGAAATTTTCTTTTTGTAAAATGTGGTACAATTTAAGAGACATCAATACACTTAAACACAAGTTATTGTCTGAAAACTAGAAAATTGCTTGTTTTGGCCCCTAATTCCTGAACGGTTTGGGCAATTACCCCCAAAATGAATTCCAACCTTCTACTTGTGGTATAGAACCTTGTGGTACAATTTAAGAGCAATCAAAATACTTATACACAAGTTATTGTCCTGAAACTAGAAAAATGCTTGTTTTGGGCCCCTAATTCCTAAACGGTTGGGACCATCACCCCCCAAAACAATACCACCTTCCTTTAGTGGTATTGAACCTTTTGATTATATTTCATAGAGATATATACACTTAAACTAAATTAATTGTTCGGAAACCAAATGTCTTTCGGACGAAGACGACGTGAGAGCATTATATGAATGCAAATTTTTTGCGATCGTATAAAAATGGTAAAAGTCTGATTTATTCTTTCCAAGTACTCCATATTTGCTAGATAAAATTACTTGCATTAGCATTAGTTGGAAATCAGAAATCATTTTACAAGTGTTATGAACTGGCTGTTTTGTATTGGCCCTTATATAGATTTTCAATCATCTGTTTTGGCCCTGGTATAGATTCTCAGTCATCTATATTGACCGACGACTATGCCAGCCTCTGGGCCAATACAGCTCACCTCGAATCTATACCAGTGCCATGCAGAAACACCCAGTTGATAACACTATCTAAAACATCATTTCAAATTACTATATTCGAAATCAGATTGTAAAACACAGTTCAGTTTCTCTTTTTATATACATTTCTTAGTGAAATTTGTTCAGTGAAGACATTCTGGAAGATACCTTATTTTTGTCAAGAATAAAAAATATGTTTTCTGGTGGGTTTGAACCCACCCCAGCTGTAAAATAGTCATTTTCTGTCTATTTTTCGATTTTAATACAACTTTGAGAGGTGAACATTGACAAAACTGTGTTTCTTTGTCATTCAATTATTACAGCAGTCCATCCATACTGACTGGAAGTAAATGTGACTTGAGTGTCGTGCTGGGTAATTATTTTTGGCAAGCCAGGTCTAAATATCTGTTTTTACAGATTTCTGTCATAACAGTGACCTAGATTTTGCAGACCAAATTTGTTTTGGCAAAATTATACCTCCTTATGTTCCTGTTCCACTTATGCATGTATTTAGGATAATAGTTTATACTTACGGCCCATACTATTAATGTAGTGGCCATCAAATGACTCCCACCCCACCTAATTTTGGCTACTTTTCACATTTTTCTGATTTTGAACTCGAAGCATCGTAAAACTAAAAAAAAACATAACCCCCCTTGAAGTTAAATGGTTGCTACCTTATGGACCATGAATTATATGGTTGAACTCCCTGCTGTCAACACAGTACAGCTGGGGCAGTTCTAAATTAAGAGCTGCACCAAGAGTGCATGATATGCCCGTCGCTTTTTTCAAAGAATAAAGTTCCATAATTCCTCAATGTCATATAAGAAATTTATCAAAAACTAAAGGGAGGTTATTTTAATAGATATAAACAATTGACCACAGTTTCGTGAAAACTGCTCTAAGCATTTTTCAGTTATTGTCCGAAAACTGGAAAATCCCCCTTTTTTAATTAATAAAACCCCATAACTCGTAAAATCTAAAATTCATAAAAATCATGTCAATAGATACAAACAATTCACCAAAGTTTCATGCAAATTGGTTAAAGTGTTTTTGAGTTATTGTCAGACATGTTGACGACAGACAGAGGGACGGACAACGGTATACCATATTATGTCCCATAAACGGGCATATAAAAAGTATGGAGGGTCATACGGGCCATCAAAGAATGGCGATTGCAATCACGCCCATATATCAGGTTGTGCTTGTAGACATAAATCTTAAAGATGCAGATAAACATTAACATGGAGTATACCTTAAAAATCCCAAATGAAACTTTATAAACCTGGTTTTCAAACATATTCTACTGTATGCACCCTATGTGTCAAAATGTCCATAAGGATGGTTTTAAGATGGTATGTGAAAAAGCTTCCAGTTGGCTCTAAAGCATAACTTATGATGAAATATTCAGGCAGAATTGGCAAAATGTTCTTGAAGAACTTTTCACAATATAATTAGAATGCAGTTGTATTATTGATTGACCTAAATGTGAAAAATAGCTTAATTTAAATAGCTCACTCAATTAAAGGATAAGTCATGGTGATTCTAGTAATTTACTGTATATTGTATTATACAAGTGAAATTTCACTAATACACTACCATGAGCTATGGAAAGGTCACGGAGGAGGATTTTTCATCAGCTATGAATTCAATTGTTGTCTAACATCTTAGTCTACATATACTATCTTATAATTAACAAAAGTTATCCAAAGGTGATCCAAATGTTACTGAATTGTATTGTGCAAGACGGATGTAGTTGTGAATTACCACAAAATATATATACATGTACTATCAAGAAAATGATTTATTCAAAATTTACTTAGTCATCCAAATATGGGACATAGTGACAAAACTTATATAGAAATGTATAAAACTGCAGAAAGTAATATATAGAAATATTAGTGATAAATCATTATGGATTCCAGAAATATAAACTTAAACATATGACAAAGTCACTCAAGGTGAACTGTAGGTCAAGGTGACTTTGATGATAATGATAAATCTATTTTTAATGGTGTATCACATCAGAGAAATGAAGTACTGAAATCTTAAGAGAAATACCACCTATAACCTCTTATTTCTGGGAGTTTTAACACAAAGCTGAAAAGGACAGTCAGATAACAGCTATGTAGCTAAATTCACACCAGGGCTAAACTGAGGCATGATTGAAATGATGTAAAATAACATTCTAAAATAAGATAAAACTACATATGTAATAAAGGACTACACAACAAACTGATAAAATACAAACAAAAGGATTGTTTTGGATTTTGCAACCTATTCAAATTTATAGCATATCACAAAAAATTTAAATCCAAGCAAAGAAGATAAAATATATCACACGTATGTCCAAATTAAATGTATGAAAGCAAAATAAAAATTCCAATAACTAATACAAAGTCACTCAACTAATGTTTAAGGATGGGAAAATTTCATAAATCCTGAATAGGGTTGATATAAATAGGACATTTATTAATAGTGTACACCCAAGATCCAACAGCTGCCTTTACTTTTTATAGTATCTGTATATGATGAATTATTATAAGTCCTTCTTTAATATTGCCATGGACTAATAAATAAACTGTATTTATAAATACTTTTAAAGTATTTTGTTCATCAAATAAACCATCTGAGACTTAAAAAAAACTGATAACATTTCAAACTGTAATCAACACAAACAAATGGAGTATAGGCTTTAGGTGTCTTTATAGCTTTAAAAGAAATAACCTTTACTAAATCAAAGAATTTGGGGTTGATAGTTATTTCTAAAGTCTCACCTTTAGGAATTCTAACATTACAGGTACAGTGATAAGCTGAGTTGTTTACAGATTTGTAGTAGATTCAGAAGCAGATTTTGTCTCATTCAAAGAAGATTGTCAAGTTTTATGAAAATTTATCATATGGTGGGGGCAAAATGTCAGAATTTCAGTTGCTGCTGTAACATTGACCTTGCATTGACCTGGTGACCTATGTATACCAAAACAGATCTTTCATAAAACAGTACAGGGGAGGAAACAAATGTATAAATCTTGGATGTACAATTGATAAACATGCATGTCATTATCCTTGTTTTTAACATTTAACTTCCTGTACAACTTTATAATTCAACCAAAACTGATTTAAAAATTTGCAAACAAATGTAAATATGATAAAATATCCCATGAAAAGCATAACATATGTTTGTACACATGAAGTGAAATGTCGAGAGGACAACATCAGTATATATACAATGATGTTACCTGGTGATGGTGTTGTACCTATGATAATAATAACAATCTATCTAGTAATATAAATCTCTCATTCTATTCGACTGTTGCACTAAAATTAGCTTAAAATCAAAAGCTGAGTTTTCAATCATAACTGGACATGAAGAAAAAAATATGTTGCTCCACCTATAGTTTCCTCTGAACTGGTGCTTGTCTTTTCTTTTTTTCCCAGGGTGTTGTCTGTCCTATTGTGAGGTCAAATTTCGATTTACCCATTGGAATATTTATATTTTTTGTTACATATGGTTATCGGGAAATTAATCCATTTATACTTTGTTTTATGTTGTACAACCACTACCATTTAAGTCATTATTTTTTTAAAAGTTTTTTCTCTTTGAGGCCTCTAAACTTTTTTATATATATCATGTACATATATATGATTCTACACTTAATCAAACCACTTAGTTAACAAGATATTTTGCTTTTGCTATTCATTTCACAAACCTGGACTACTTGATTTTCTTACCACAATAAGAAGACAATGACTTTATTAATAAATTTTATAAATCTTAGTAATGGTAATTCTGTTGTAACTTCAACGGGAGTTTTTCTGGCTGACGTTTGTCTTCTGTGTTGATTTTTCATGAAATGGCAAATTTTAGTGTTACTAACAATCCAGTCCATGTTTTGGTTAAGAAAAACCTTGAAGTGTTAAAGTTAGGGAATGTAATAATTTCTACCTGTAAAAAAATTTTGTGCAAATTTGAGTGATTTAAGAAAGTAAATTTAGAGTTAAAATCAATGTAATCAACAAATATTAAGGTAATGGGACATTCTAATCTAGTTTGGTTGGTTTCTGTTGAGCAGTTTCAGAGAATTTGTATGTACATGTACTATATGTTCCCCTGTAATTGGAAATCATACCCCTGTTTGGAAAGGACATACCCCAAAAATCAATGATATCAAGAAACAAAATACCAGTAATGGTAAAATACTGCAGTTCTTGTTAATGTTTTTTTTGCTTTCAGAGGACTTGCAGATAAACACAGATTGACAATTCATAGATAATGATCTCTATCAGTTATTCCTAAGTGTGGTATTTGCTTGCAGAGGCAAAACGTATAAAAAAACAATTGCACTATCTTGTTTTCCAATTTTTGCATTTCAGACTGACATAGAGAGTATACTAATTTTGAATGTTTAATAAATACAAAATCACTATGAAAAATGAATTGCATGAAACTTAAACAGGCATTTTCAAGACAATAAAATTTTAATGTGCAGATAAAAGATCAACACATTCAACAAATAAATACATATATACTCTAACTGGGTTGAAGTTGTTGAAAATAAAGACCAACAAACCATTTTCTGAGGACAAACTGTTATGACAATATAAAACAAAATTTTAATACAACATATAACATTTATTTTTTCTATATATATAGTCACTAACAATAAAACTTTATTATTCCTTCACCAATGGTCTAGCAGAAGTTTGGTGTACAGTAAAACCTCAGTGTAATGTTATATAGGGATTCTGTCAAGCAAGAGCTCAATTTTACTTACAGAGAGAGGGTGAGGGACTTTTTCAGAGATATTACAAGGATTAAGTGGGAACTTTAAAAAGGTTTTACTGCACATTAGATTTTTGCATCCCAAGCTAACATTAGGTTTTATTTACTGATTTTACAAAATTCATGAAAATAAATATGTACTTAATAAAATCTTTTTTGATAGTTTAGCCAAAAAACTTCTTCCATACATAATATATATTTGTTACTAGCAGAATAAAAATAGACATGCTGTTATACTCATACAATGTTTTTATTGACTACACAGACAGAGCACACATAAAACATAGTCATGCCCAAGATTACAGGGCATGCTGTAATGACTCATGCCCGGGGCATTCTGTATACCTCTGTCTGATCAGCTTCAACACCCGAATCTATTTCATTAGTAAAAGCAAGTAAAGGTGCATTTTTTTCAGGTTCATCTGGGATTTTCTTGTTGACATCTCCCTAATGTTGTAAAGCAAGAAATTGTGATGAATGTTTGGAATGTGCAGAGAAAGCAAAAATTAATCCCTTTTAACCCAAGTAACCTCTAGCTAAATATAAATATGAACTATTTTCCCTGTAGACATACAAGATTTAATTCCTTCCTAACTAAGGTTTTTATTTTATCTATTACTCAATATTACTTCCTATTTCAATCTTATCAAAGCAAATAATTCTGTAGTAATATATTTTTCTCAACAATATGAACTTGTTATAATAAATGTTAAAATTTGATACAACGCTAATTGCTGAATCCAAGTTTTGTTTGACTTAAAAGTGTTACAGATTTTCATGATTTAAAAAAAATGAAAATTACTTTTGTCTAAAATTTTCAAAAACATGAACTTTTATCACCAAGAAGACACATTGATGGACTGATACAAAAGTAGCTAAGAGAAAGAAAACATAATAAAAGTGTGAAGCATGCTGCTGCATTTACCTGTATAACAAGGTATCTACCAGGATCTCTGGCCATTTTGGCGAACTCATCTGCGAGTTCTATAAAACTTGGTCGACTTTCAGCATCCAACATCCAACCTAAAATACAATCAATAGATATATTCAAGGCCTTGCAATATAAAGCACTTAGCATTTAGCCAAACATTTAGCACTGTAAGATTTTTTTTCCTCAATAATTTTTAGTCATATGTTTTTGTGGAATGAATGAAAATGTACACAAACCCTTAAAGCAGATTAGTTTCTGGACTATGTGTTGTTTATTGTGTCTTTGTTTGCACAGAGCATGTTTTAAGGAGTCATATGTTGGTTGTAGGGTGTAGCCTGTTGTACTGTCTAATGTTCTGAGGAGTCAGGTGTTGGTTGTTGGGTTTATCCTGTTGTACTGTCTAATGTTATGAGGAGTCAGGTGTTGGTTGTTGGGTGTATCCTGTTGTACTGTCTAATGTTATGAGGAGTCAGGTGTTGGATGTATCCTGATGTACTGTCTAATGTTATGAGGAGTCAGGTGTTGGTTGTTGGGTGTAGCCAGTTGTACTGTCTAATGTTCTGAGGAGTCAGGTGTTGGTTGTTGGGTGTATCCTGTTGTACTGTATAATGTTCTGAGGAGTCAGGTGTTGGTTGTTGGGTGTATCCTGTTGTACTGTATAATGTTCTGAGGAGTCAGGTGTTGGTTGTTGGGTGTATCCTGATGTACTGTCTAATGTTCTGAGGAGTCAGGTGTTGGTTGTTGGGTGTATCCTGTTGTACTGTCTAATGTTCTGGGGAGTCAGGTGTTGGTTGTAGGGTGAAGTCTATTGTACTGTCTAATGTTATGAGGAGTCAGGTGTTGGTTGTTGGGTGTATCCTGTTGTACTGTCTAATGTTATGAGGAGTTAGGTGTTGGTTGTAGGGTGTATCCTGTTGTACTGTCTAATGTTATGAGGAGTCAGGTGTTGGTTGTTGGGTGTATCCTGTTGTACTGTCTAATGTTCTTAGGAGTCTGGTGTTGGTTGTAGAGTGAAGTCTGTTGTACTGTCTAATGTTATGAGGAGTCAGGTGTTGGTTGTTTGGTGTAGCCTGTTGTACTGTCTAATGTTATGAGGAGTCAGGTGTTGGTTGTTGGATGTATCCTGTTGTACTGAATGAGGAGTCATGTGTTGGTTGTAGGGTGTAGTCTGTTGTACTGTCTAATGTTATGAGGAGTCAGGTGTTGGTTGTTGGATGTATCCTGTTGTACTGAATGAGGAGTCATGTGTTGGTTGTAGGGTGTAGTCTGTTGTACTGTCTAATGTTATGAGGAGTCAGGTGTTGGTTGTAGGGTGTATCCTGTTATACTGAATGAGGAGTCATGTGTTGGTTGTAGGGTGTTGTCTGTTGTGCTGTCTAATGTTATGAGGAGTCAGGTGTTGGTTGTTGGGTGTATCCTGTTGTACTGTCTAATGTTTTGAGGAGTCAGGTGTTGGTTGTTGGGTGTATCCTGTTGTACTGTCTAATGTTATGAGGAGTCAGGTGTTGGTTGTTGGATGTATCCTGATGTACTGTATGAGGAGTCAGGTGTTGGTTGTAGGGTGTAGTCTGTTGTACTGTCTAATGTTATGAGGAGTCAGTTGTTGGTTGTTGGGTGTACCCTGTTGTACTGTTTGATGTTATGAGGAGTCAGTTGTTGGTTGTTGGGTGTATCCTGTTGTACTGTCTAATGTTATGAGGAGTCATGTGTTGGTTGTAGGGTGTTGTCTGTTGTGCTGTTTAATGTTTTTAGGAGTCAGGTGTTGGTTGTTGGATGTATCCTGTTGTACTGTCTAATGTTCTGAGGAGTCAGGTGTTGGTTGTTGGGTGTATCCTGTTGTACTGTCTAATGTTATGAGGAGTCAGGTGCTGGTTGCTGGGTGTATCCTGTTGTACTGTCTAATGTTTTGTGAGGAGTCAGGTGTTGGTTCTTGGGTGTAGCCTGTTGTACTGTCTAATATTGTGAGGAGTCAGGTGTTGGTTGTTGGGTGTAGCCTGTTGTACTGTCTAATGTTATGAGGAGTCAGGTGTTGGTTGTTGGGTGTAGCCTGTTGTACTGTCTAATATTATGAGGAGTCAGGTGTTGGTTGTTGGGTGTATCCTGTTGTACTGTCTAATGTTTTGTGAGGAGTCAGGTGTTGGTTGTTGGGTGTAGCCTGTTGTACTGTCTAATATTGTGAGGAGTCAGGTGTTGGTTGTTGGGTGTAGCCTGTTGTACTGTCTAATATTATGAGGAGTCAGGTGTTGGTTGTTGGGTGTATCCTGTTGTACTGTCTAATGTTATGAGGAGTCAGGTGTTGGTTGTTGGGTGTAGCCTGTTGTACTGTCTAATATTATGAGGAGTCAGGTGTTGGTTGTTGGGTGTATCCTGTTGTACTGTCTAATGTTACGAGGAGTCATGTGTTGGTTGTAGGGTGTAGTCTGTTGTACTGGCTTATGTTATGAGGAGTCAGGTGTTGGTTGTTGGGTGTATCCTGTTGTAATGTCTAATGTTCTGAGGAGTCAGGTGTTGGTTGCATCCTGTTGTACTGTCTAATATTTAGGTGTAGCCTGATCCTTTTTATATATTACATATAAACTTACATTTAATCATAATCATATAGACATCAATAGTACAGATATTTGGCTGTGGAAGTCTTTCTCCCTTCTCTAGGATTTCTGGTACATTTCGAGCTCTCACATGTTCATATGGTTTCTGTCCATATGTAAATAATTCCCAGATCGTCACTCCTATAAAATAAAAGAGCACTACCTTCAACTACGGTAACTTTAGTTTAGAAAACTAAATGAAATGCTAAAAACATTTTGATTTGTGGAGAAAATTTATGTCATAAATCAGCAGTGGTAAAATCATTAAAACAACTTCTTTTGATGCTGAAACGCAAACTTGATGAAATGACATACTATTGCAGGCATATTTTGGAGTGGCTATCTCTTTTATTACTTCTAAGTTGACCCTTTCACAAAATCTACAATGTGAAATGTGTTTATTAGTATTCATCTTAATGTCACAGTATTGTCCTTGAACTTGCAAACAGCCATTCCAACCTTATTCGCAACATAATTCTGGTGGTGGGCAACAATTATTACCAAAATTGTTTTGTCAGAATCCTGTATCCCGCTTATCAATGTAATAATAGTGCTTGTAATTTCACGTGTCCCACCCGACTTCGTTTTGCCGTTTTCACGCAAAAATAATTTGACTTTCACGCTTATAAAAAATCGCCAAATCCTGCATCAGGCTTAGACCCCAATGAGACCCACTTCATATCATTCAAATTTCTGAGACAGATACAATGACTTTTACCTTGAAAACAGACAAATAATTTAACCTTCCCCAAAACACACCGTTACATGTTTAGCAACAATTATAACAAGTATCATTTACATCATTCGAGGCATGCAAAAGGTCTGAGGCACTTCTCTGTATAGTTAAAGATAAAGTTGTAAAGTTTAACTAAGTTTGTGACGTTGACCTTTTATATAGATTTTCCAACCTTATCCACAGCACACCCTCTAGTGCTAGTCTCAATAATACCACACATCATCAACAACCGTTAAGGCATTTAAAATTCTGTCTGAACAAGACATGCTTTGCACAGAAAGACAAATCATCAGTTAGCTTTATTGAAATGAATATGATAAGTTAACATACCATAACTCCAGACATCACTTTTATGTGTAAACACTCTGTGTTGAATACATTCTAGTGCTAACCATTTGATGGGCATCTGAAAAAAATACGAAGTTGAAGTGTGATCTCTTACTATTGATACCCTCACTATAACAAGACCATGATATTAAAGACATTTTAATTTGCTTTTAAGGTGTATGGAATCTGTGTTCCATCATTAAAATTTCCCACCATACGGTTTATTTTATAGTTTACACTTAATCTTCCTAGGTATTTCATTTAAATCAATACATGTACTAAATTTACTTGACTGTTAATGGATTTGAGAACTGTAACAATATCATTACAACTCCGGTCTCATCATCATGTGAAAGTATGATGGACATTTATTGAACTGTATTTCACTTTTATATAGTGCTTTTTTTTTTTTGCCATGATTATTTTGTATCTTAATGGATTCAATTAATTTCAACCAATTATCTAGAATTGGAAATTTTTTCAATTATTGGAACTGTCTGCTCACAATATTGATCAATTCAAAGAAAATCTGTGTAATGCACAGTAATTTAACACAAGAGTGCACACGCTGAAATGTCTCGCCTTCTTTACTAACCATTGATATTATGTTGATAGTCCTAAATGAAAGCTTTACTACAACTATTACATAAACTTAACATGATCCAAGAAAAAGAAGTCAAGGTCATATAAACCAAACGAGAAATACATGTACACCTTACAATCATTGAATACACTAAATATAGTTGACCTATTGCTTATAGTTTCTAAGAAACAGACTTAACCAAGGAAACTAAACATTGACCAATGAATCGTGAAAATGAGGTCAAGGTCAGATGAACCATGCCAGGCAGACATGAACAGCTTACAATCCTTCCATACAACAAATATAGCTGACCTATAGCTTATAGTTTAAGAAAAACAGACTGAAACACATAAACTTAACACTGAGCAATGAACCGTGAAAATGAGGTCAAGGTCAAATAAAACCTGCGAGACTGACATGTACATCATAGAATATTTCCATACACCAAATATAGTTGACTTATTGCATATAGTATAAGAAAAAGGACCACAACACAAAAACTTAACTATAACCACTGAACCATGAAAATGAGGTCAAGGTCAGATGACACCTGCCAGCTAGACATGTACACCTTACAATCATTCCATACACCAAATATAGTAGACCTATTGCATACAGTATGAGAAAAACAGACCAAAACACAAAAACTTAACTATAACCACTGAACCATGAAAATGAGGTCAAGGTCAGATGACACCTGCCAGTTGGACATGTACACCTTACAGTCCTTCCATACACGGAATATACTAGACCTATTGCTTATAGTATCTGAGATATGGACTTGACCACCAAAACTTAACCTTGTTCACTGATCCATGAAATTAGGTCGAGGTCAAGTGAAAACTGTCTGACAAGCATGAGGACCTTGCAAGGTACGCACATACCAAATATAGTTATCCTATTACTTATAAGAAGAGAGAATTTAACATTACAAAAAATCTTAACTTTTTTTTTTCAAGTAGTCACTGAACCATGAAAATGAGGTCAAGGACATTGGACATGTGACTGACGGAAACTTCGTAACATGAGGCATCCATATACTAAGTATGAAGCATCCAGGTCTTCCACCTTCTAAAATATAAAGCTTTTAAGAAGTTAGCTAACGCCGCCGCCGCCGCCGGATCACTATCCCTATGTCGAGCTTTCTGCGACAAAAGTCGCAGGCTTGACAAAAACTAATATCAGAAAAATTTAACACACTAATATGGCCACATAATTTGGTAAATAGATAAAAAAAAATAATTATAAATTCTGAATGTAAAAATACCCCAGTTGGCATGGTTTATTCTTTAATGATTTCAATGTTGTATGTAAGCTTTAATTTAATTGGACAGTATGATGAAAACTGAAAAATTTAAACATTGATAAATTTAATGCATTGTGAGTATGAAGTCCAAAGTCCGTAATTTTGGCAAAAATCAGCAGAGCAGAACCAAATGTAAACTCGATCTGTAACCCATCATAGTAGACTCACATACAATGTACTAAAATCAGCTCAATATATGAAGGCGTACAGAAAAAAAATTCATAAGGAGTTCTGCGGAACCCTGTCTCGCCTGCGATTGCTGATGTCAGTGTTAAAGTGTAATGTTGACTTAAAAAGTGAGTCCATTTATCAGTAAAATACAGAATTTAAAAAAAAATCAAACTCTTTCTTGAGATGCTATTTTTTGGTCCTGAAGACTTCTGTACAAGTTTCATAGCAATCCATGAAGGTTTAAAAATTTATCATGTAAAATTTATTTTGATCCCAGACTGTCTTTAAATGTTAACTGTAAACAAGAGGCTGTCAGAGTGACAGCAAACCGGATTTCCTGCAGAGGTTGAACCCTGAACAGTTGAGCAAGTATGGACACTACATTTAAGCTTAAAACAGCTCTGAATTTGGATTGTGATTGACTATTTGACACAGCATAGGTTTGTGACACAAAATGAATGTGGTCAAAGAACTGAAAAATTTGAAATCGGACATTTACCTATTATGGTCCAATATCCAAAATCTAAGTACATTGTTAGAATCAGCATATCAAAGAACCCCAAGAATTCAATTTTTGATGAAATCAAACAAAAGTTTAATTAAGTACCCTTTGGACCTCAATGTGGACCAATTTGATAAAGGAGCCCACAATCCAAAATCTCTAAATACATGGTTAGATTCAGCATTTCGAAGAACCCCATAAATTCTATTTTTGTTGAATCAAACAAAGTTTAATTTTGAATCCTGATTTGGACCATCTTGAAAACTGGGCCCAAAAATCTAATATTTAAATACAGGTATAGATTCAGCATTTGAAAGAACCCTATATATATTTAATTTATGTTGAAATGAAACACAGTTTAATTTTATCCATATAATTTTCTGTTCAAAGGAAAATAACTCAAACTGAATAAATTATAAACACATAGTTCTCTAAAATTAGATATGATGTAACCACTATTTTCTTAAATAAGATATGATGTTACACAATGTATATCTATTTTCAAATTATAATCAAATATAATTAATAGTTCCAAATATTTTTTCTTTCATAAATCACAAACCAATATATATCTGCAACTTCTCTATCAATATCAACAACTTTATCTACACAATTTAATGTAATGTAATATATCCTTTAATAAAAATAGATTATCTAATTAAAGGAGTTCACTTCATCAAAAAAAAATTATATATATAGCATTCAGAAAATTAGTTTATACAGAATAACAAACAAACCTACCACAAAATTCTTCAAACAATTTACCAAAGAAAAGAAAAAAAAATCCAAAATGTCATTTATCATTCATACAATGTCTTTTAAAAATCTTTTAAAAAATGAGTTATTTCCCTTCGAACAGAATGGAGTAAGTAATAAGAGAATGGAGTAAGTAATAAGAATTTCATCAAAAATTGAATTCTTGGGAAAGGGCTATAACTCAACAACGATAAAAGCTAAAATCGTGAAAATTGGACTTGACCTTCATTTAGTCACAGGAAACAAAATATCTAAATTTGAAAAAATTTCATCAAAGCGTTTTCATGTTTATGAACGGACACTATTTGGCAGCCGCCCGCCTGTCTGTCATACATCCCCAAATCAATAACCGATTTTTCTTTCGAAAATCCAGTTAAAAATGAAGTCCATCTATCAGAAAAATACTAAAGATGAAAAAAATATTTTTTCAAAGGTTTGCTTCAGACATTATCTCTTAATCATTAAAAAGCTACTGCCAAAGTTTCATAAAACTCTATGAAGGTTTTACAAAGTAATTGGTGTGTAACAAACTTTAACCCCAGACTGCTTCTACTTGTTAACTGTAAAAAAACTATGTCCATTTATCAGTAAAATACGGAAAAATGAAAATAAATGTTTTCAAAATTTTGCCCTGGATACTGTTTTTTGGTCATAAACAAGCTTCTGTCCTAAGTTCATAAAATTCCATGTATGTTTGACAAAGTTATTGATGTCCCAAAAAACTTTAACCACAGACTGAACCTAAATGTTGACGCCGCCGACACTATCGCCATCGCAGACGATGGAATCTAGGATCGCTATGTTTCGCTTTCGCAAAATAAATTTTGCAAGCTCGACAAAAAGTCTGTATAACTGTTATTTTTACAAAATGTTCGAAGTCTTTGTTTCAGCAAAAATCAGCAGAGCAGAAGCAAACGTAATATTGATCTGTTACTCATCATAGTAGACTCATCTACTAAAAATTCGTAAGGGTTCCACAGAACCCAGTGTCTCACCTACTTTTGCTGTTAGTCGCAGGCTCAACAACTAGAGGCTCTCAAGAGCCTGTGTCGCTCACCTGTATTTACTGATGCTTTGGAAATCATGTAAAATAAGGTTAAAATCATAATTAATAGTATTAGATATTAGAATGATATCTAAGATAATAACAAAAAACTCCAAAATTTTTGTATAATTACTAACTCAGGGGCAGCAACCCAACAACGCGTTGTCGGATTCGTCTGAAAATTTCAGGGCAGATAAATCTAAATCTGATGAACATTTTTGCCACCTGTCAGATTAAATGCTTTAGTTTCAGAGATATAAACCAATAAAATGCTCCGCAGGGCGCAGCTTGATACGACCGCAGAGGTCGAACCCTGAACAGTTGGGGCAAGTATGGACACAACATTCAAGCTTGATACAGCTCTGAATTTGGATTGTGATTAAATATTTGACACAGCATAGGTTACTGACACAGAATGAATGTGGTCTAAGAACTTAAATTTTTTTATTAAATTGGACATTCACCTATTATGGTCCAATATCCAAAATCTAAATACATGGTTAGATTCAGCATATCAAAGAACCCCAAGAATTCAATTTTTGATGAAATCAAACAAAGTTTAATTTAGGACCCTTTTGACCTCAATGTGGACAAAGTTGATAACGGGGCCCAAAAATCAAAAATCTAAATACATGGTTAGATTCGGCATATCAAAGAACCCAATATATTCAATTTTTGTTGAAATCAAACAAAGTTTAATTTTGGACCCCGGTTTG